ATTAAAATTCACCGCCAGTGTCACGTGTAAAGCGAATTGCGATGCGATATCTGATCTGTGCACGCGAACTGTTCTCGATCTTGTGGTTTCATCGCAAGTTAGCTTTCGTTCTTATCAAATTTTATTTATGTCAGGACGGAAACGCAAGAAAGGTTTGCCCATTTCCGTCTTCGAGGAAACCAAAGAGGCTTAATGAGGCATGGTTTAATTCAAAAATGTCTGGAGAACGAAGACGCCTAAGCTTGCACAACATGATACCAAAACCGCCGACGAAATCTTCTAAGTAAAAGAACTCATAGTCTCCTCCGCAGCCGTTTTTTGGGATGTCACGCAACGCTCCCCCAAAGAAACGGCTACTCACATCCGAACCACATTCTTTTCCTTTTGTGTTTGTGGTTTGTTTGCGCTCTGTTGAACCGACCAATCACATAATAGCAAAGTGTGAATGACGTAAGCTTTCGCGCGAAAAGGTCTGCGGTGCGAACGCGAGAGGGATTTCTGGCTTTTGTTCAACGCCGCACGTCGCCAAAAGTAGGCGGTGTTCGCAGGCTACGATCATGACGGACTTAAAAAAATGTCAATGAAAGTCCTCTGTAAAAGTGCTTCATGTGCTCATCGCTATGTTCAGCTAATGAGAGAATATATATTTTCTAGAAGTGTCGTATTGTAAGCGTCAATCAAGGGCTAAACGCTTCCTACAGATTGTAATCAGGAGGAAAGAGCGGCATTTAGAACTCGCTGTCAACAAATCGAGCGAAGCTACTTGATTTCCTGGTTCCTTTATTAATTTGAAATAGATATCGTCCTTCTCGACAATAATTTTTTGAGTTGAAAGCTTCTATTAATTAGCTTAAACTTTGAAGAGTCTTTAGCTACTTAGAAGCTCGTTCAAGCGTCGCCGGTATTTTTCGGCGTCCCTAAACAAAAGCCGGAAATCTGCATGTTTCATTTGTGACATCTCCCACGACGGGATACAAAGATAACAAACATTCTCTGATTGGACAAGTTTCAAAGGGCGAATTTGGCGCGAAAACGTTCTTGAAAATGGAACGGAAGCGGTGATTGGCTAATTTCGTGAAAGGAATGTTGTTCGGTTGTGAGCAGCCGTTTCTTTGGGGGAGCGTTGCGTGACAAAGATGACTTCTGCCCTCTCACCAACGGATGCATTTTAAGTACAATGTGATATATGAAGGGTTCATTTTCGGTCAGCATCTTGGTTAAAAATCCACTTTTTAAGAAATGCAACAAAAGACTTGGAATTTTACGTAAAAATATAAAACGTGTCAGTCGTTGCAGAAACGATGAATGACATTCAAGGCTCGAATACAAGCAATGGCTCAGCGATGCCAGTAACCACTTTTACTCTGGAAACGTTCTTCATTTCGGCGCTGTATTTCGCCAGTGCTCTGATTTCTGTGTTTGGGAACATTCTTGTCATGTTGGCGGTTTGCACCAACAGACGACTGCAAACAACAAGTAATTATCTCCTTGTCGCTTTAGCTGTACCCGACTTCTTTCAAGGAGCAGTCTCACTTCCCCTCAGACTCGTAGAAGTTCTGAAGGCAGAATGCGACCATCAATCCTTTTGCCGTGCTTCAATACACGTTTCCACATTATTTGGCGGCGCCTCAAATCTCCACATCTTACTGATCGCTACTGAGAGGATCATATCCATATGTTGGCCATACTTCTATAGCAGTTGGGTCACAACAAAACGCGCTTTACTGGGGGTGTGTGTGACCTGGTTGTGGACGGTTATTTTCTCGCTTTTACCTGCCATGGGTTGGGGTGCAAGGGAGCCAGAAAATTCAGTTACTTTTTGTCGGTTTCCCGCATTTCTGACCCAAGAGTACATCTCATTTCTGTTCGTATTTGTCCATTTCATTCCCATAATCACGGTTACTTTCCTTACAACTCTCGGACTGAAGGAAATTCCGAATTTGATCCGGAGCGTGTGGAAGAAGTACGGAAAAGGAAAGCAGAAGCAGCAAGGCAAAGAAAATCCACACGTATCGTGGCTGCAGTTGTGGGATCCTTTATCCTCTTGGTTGTCCCTATCATTATTATTGATATTGTTGAGATGCTCAGAGGTGCAGTTGTACCAGTACCAGTTGTTAAGACGACGGTTCTGATGATATATGCCAATCATTGCGTGAATGTTTTCATTTATGCAGGTTTTAACAGTGATTATAGGAAAACGTTTAAGAAGATTGTTCTGAAAGGCATAAATTTTGTCAGGGGGAGAAGCTCGAATGAAATACAATGCACAAACTCATTAGAACAGATAAACACAGAGGGACAAGATTAAAAATACAATGCTGGTTGGTTAGTTATGGCGAAAGTTTAAATGCAGTTTCAGCTCTGATCATGCTTAAAAGGTAAATACGTGAGCGAAGCGTGTAACTTTCGATAACTAGTTCCAAACGTATTCGATTTATGTTTAGTTCGATCGAAACCGCCTAATTAGAAGGGTGTGACTTTACTTAAGATTTTATTGATCCTTTGTAAGTAAACAGTATCTATTGCTTAAGTGCCGGTATGACGAAAATTGCTTCTCTTGATTCCGTTTGTTTTTCCTGCAGTTTCATTGTTTCCATAGATAACTAATGGTGGACAGATAAAACGGACTTTCCATGCTCAGATTGAAAATCGGCTTGCCCTTGTAATTTACTACTGCATAAACGTTCGAAAAAATGCAAGAACAACAACTGACTGACAGAATTCGAGAAACGTGATCGAACTGAACTTTAATTAGTATCGTTGAAACAAGCTTTTCTTCAACAGATAATGAAACTAAAAGTGCGCCTCTTCGTCAATTCAAGAGGAATGAAAACAAGATCTATAGAGTAGATACTTTGATGTCAGATACTCCAGACTCGCACTTATGCACAACAATTTTAAGCAAAATTTACAGCGTTTTACAATGAACTGTTTGGAAGGTAATAGATTTCAGTTGTTACACTCAGTAGCATCAAATCAGCTAAAATTTCTAAGATTCAACCCTTTATATTCACCAAGTGGTCAGGTGGGCGTCGCAGAGGATGCACCGTTCCACCATTATTATTGGACGGTAGCGCTGAGGTGAACCGATTGTATCTCTCGAAGGGAGAATTGCATCATTGACTTCCCCTTCACGGTAGTTAAAGGCTGTGCAAAGCAGAGCAAAGTGGGTGTTTTACGTAGTATAAAACGACGGATCCGCAATTACAGAAGAGTTTCCTTCTGGACAAAAGCGCGCAGCCAAACATCGTTAAACCAGCATTTTACAAAGCCATCATTCATCTAGAAAAAAGCCAGCGCGAATCATTAGTGTTTTGAAACAGTGATTGCTTATAAATTGAAATGATTAGTGTATTTGTTGTTATTGGTCTTTCTCCTGGACTAATTTATTGTCTGCCAATGATTGTAGTGTGGGTCACTGGAACGTGGTAAAGATGTTTTTCAAATTTCGTATAATTTTATTGAACAGACTTGCTTATCGAAAATGCTCATTCTTAAAACATAGCCATTTAGTCAGATCTTCTTCACTCTGTCGAAATTAATTTTCGAACTTCATCAATTTTCTGACCAAACTACATCCGTTTAATGTCATACAAGTATGCCTGAGGACCAAGCTGGCAATTTATTTCTTCTTATTGAGGATAGAATGTTAAATGCTGCTGCTGACACAAGGGGGTCAAAACACAATATCCCGGACACTGCACTTGGTACATCAACTGGAAAAAGTTGCACCGATGAAGTTAAACTGGCAAACATTTAGCATTTCACCACAAGTCATTTGATTACATTCCCTGGGAAGATTTTTTTGTTTTCAGTCTCATCCTAGCTATTGTCAGACTAACAGTCACTTCAACTTCTTCCAGATTAAGCAGTTTGAACAGCAAAGGAAATTCGACAAGAATTTTTGTAATTAAGCTGACATATCATAAAGCAAGATAAAAAAGCAGAAACAGAAATAGCGAGAAGTGGATTCGAAATATTGGTTATCTTTAAATAGCGATGAAACATTTTGCTGTGCTGCCAAGTTATTCAGTTTGATGAAGAAGGAACAAACATATCAATATACGCGACCTGCCTTTACATTAGCATTTTGAAAACTATACAAGTGCGTGCTCCATTAGGTAAATGGACCCCACCTTGGACAATTAAATAAAGCCATTACTTCAAAGAGCTCTGGGGGATGGGTCTGCGTAACGGATTTATTTTTGTCCCAAATCATTTGATCGACACACTTTCGTAAGAAAGGGACATGGTCTTTCTCCTATAAAATATCACACAAAGAAATACTGATCTTGAAGTGCACCGAAAGCGACTGTATATTTTTTGAAGCGAATTTTCTGCATAGAAGAGAACAATTGAAAAACCTTGGCTTCTTGATCCAAGACGTAAATTGAACTGTTAGCGTGACCTGCGACGTCACTTATTGAATGTGGGAAGACCTAGCAATATTTCCGAAGCCAACTCAATTTTATAGACGGAAAAGAATGCCTCTTCTGTCAGTGCATTTGATCGGCAGAGAGAAAAACAAACAAACATGTCAGAGACGGATATTCTAAACGGAACAAAAAAGGTGAAAGAAGCAGTCGCAATTTTAAAAAGATTTATTTCGAGTTAATTAAAAATTCAAAAATCCATGTTGCAGTTGGGCTTCACTCACAGCTGCATTTTTTAAAAGTAGAAACTTTGTATCTACATGGTCCAGGATACACCTCTTAGTCCCTACATCAAATATGGCGAACTTGTTCTTTCCTCGTCAATCGTGAGGCAAAATAAAGGTCGCTTTTCACAGTAACTAAACCAGGCTAATGAAATGTTATAATTGTCTGGTGCACGCTTTATGTGATTGGTCAATTATCCAGGCCGTAATCTAGAGTACGGACCGCTTTAGACCAGAACGTCGATTTAATAAGTGACATCATGTTCAGATACAGATCATCAATTCCCCTGTCAAATGGTCCATAATCTTTCCGTTTAGCGCATGAACCGACCGAAAAAAATAGCCTTTATCTTTCCAAACAACGCAATCAATTATTTGGGGCACTGAAACAACATCGAATCACTGATATATATTGTTGCCAAAAGAATACCGCACCACATAACAGTCAGGTTAACACAATCAATTCCAGTTGCAGTTTGCTTCGGAGAAAAATGGAAGAAAAACACAGAAACAGTGTTCATCACCAGAACTTGGCATAAATACGAAGAAAAAAATGATCGTTACTTTCGCGATTTGAAAGGTCGCACGGGACAAGAATGTTTATTCAAAAGATTTGAATAAATGAGCAACGCTAGTCGTTATAATCCGCGATATTTATTACCTTTTCTTGGTTCACCCATGAAAAATAATTATAATACTGTCAAGAAAACAGGCAAGTAAATAAAGGAATAAAAGAATATTATCGTGACAACGTGTGATTAGAATAAGTAATTTCTTAACAGAGAATTGAAACCCATTTAGAAAAGTGCTTATCTTCCTACCGGAACTTGTTAGCACAACCGAACCGAAATGAAAGTAATAAGTTTGTACAAACGAGGACCTATGGCATACAGAGGACTTTGTTTATACAGCTTTTCTAGCACTAATGGTCGGTCCATTGTAATGAAAGGTACACAACAAGGTCACTGTTTTGATCTCGAAAACTAAGGTCCATCTATTTTCACGGCACTTGATTTGCCAAGCTTTTCGTAGCGGTGGATAAAAAGACCCTTTCAGATGGATCGGTTTATAATCTGGCAAAGTTCCTCTATTTGACGTGTATGCAAAATTCAGTAGCGAAAACGGCTATCTTTCAAGGTTATTGTTGTCATTAGTTGGAGATCTGAATTACCATGCAACCCATCGAAATATTCCTTCGACAAATATGGATGGCAAACATAAACCATAAAGATTTTAGAAACGAGAGGTTTTGTTGATCAGTGTCAGAAAGTAAATGTGTCAAAAAAGTGGATATAAAACCATGGAGAAAGCGTTTAGTTTACGGCAGACTGGGAGGTGGTCAAGTGGTCGTAATTGAAAGGCAAATTTGAATTTATGGTTTTCGTTGGAAGAGAGCCAGATTTCATTTCATACTCAAGGCACCAGTTGTTTTCCGCGAACGCTCAGTACGTGATTGGCCGGCTTATTCTCGCTGGACAAGGTAAACGATTTAACAGCACTGTAAGCCATAGCCGTGAATAAAAGAGCGAGATCAACAAAAGACGATATTTTTCACGCCCAAACATAAATTGAGGAATGGAAAATTTTACAGGAAATAGCTCTTCTTATTCAGCCTCCGGTTTAGTCAGCCAGTTACCTGAGAATCCAACGGGATCCATCCCTCTGGCGTGCCTTTATTCGGTGATTTCATTTATTGCGGTGTTTGGAAACCTTCTCGTTGTAACAGCTGTTATCTGGGACCACACGTTGCGGTCATACACAAGTAACTATTTCCTCGCCAATCTTGCAGTGGCCGACTTTTTCCAGGGAGCTGTGGCAATTCCTTTGCGGATACTGGAGGTGATGGCGCTTGAATACGACCCAAACGTTTTTTGCAGAGTCGCAATTCCTACTTCAATATTATTTGGGAGCAGTTCCAACCTAGCTATCCTTGTAATAAGCATCGACAGATTTCTAGCCGTGCAGTATCCTTATATTTATGTAAGATACTCGAGCCTCAAATTCATATTTGGTGCAATTGCATGTGCGTGGTCAGTAGCTTTTGTGTTAAGTATAACGGCCGCCTCCCGATTAGTGTGGCTTAGTCCTGATGTCCCATCACGAATTTGTCGTTTTCCTACCTATCTGAACCAGGATTATATAATGAGCATGTACGTTCTTGTACATGCCATTCCCATTGGTACAGTAGTACTTTTATACGGCTTTATTCTCAAAGCCAGTTTAAGACACGTGCGCAAGATTCACGCACAGGAACTTGCGGTTGCTTCATGCCGCAATACAAACGGTGACCTTAGCATCATCGAAGAAGAAACCTCGTCTAGTACAAAAAGAAGAAAAAAGCGCCATCGGGATAACATTAAGCATAGGAAAGCTGCCAAGACGGTTTCTATAATCGTTGGCATTTTTATCGTGCTTGTAGTTCCTATCATAGCAATCGACTTAGCAGAAATGTTGGGGGCTCCTTCAGCCCCCGCGTCGTTAACTAGAATCTGTGTTTTTATGATTTATGCTAATAACTGTGTTAACGTTTTGGTGTACGCTGGTTTTAACCAGGACTTTAGGCGAGCTTTTAAGAAGATAATAATTAAGTTCTTTCGAAGTTTCTACGGAATTAGACCGCACCGGTGAAGCGAGGATTAATATTGATTTCTGTAAATATAGCATAATTTTAATTTTGCTGTATATGTTCAACTGCTGTTCGTTATCAACTTGTTAACTCAGTTTCAAAGATTACTTGTAAGTAAACAAAATAATGTTTACCCGAACATAAAGTTAACGTCGCTTTTAAAAGCTTCTTGTGGACATGTTGTGAGTGCCAAACATAGCTGACAAATTATGTTACTATCATTATCAAAACTGCAGATGATGTAGTTAAAAAAAATTGAATATTGCTAGCTTAAGGCAACCTGAAAAACTAAAAATAGGCAATTTTACCATAGAAAAGTTCAACATCAAAACACAATCAAGGGGAATTATTTAAATAGAAAAAGATGAAAAAACGAGCAGTCATTTTTTGCCTTTTGAAACTTGCTTGCGGCTGAACTCTCTCCAGCTCCAGATTACTCAGTGTTTCATTCCAGGTATTTCATTGCTGGGAAATTAACTAAAGCGTATAAATCTACTAACAGCTTATTCGCTTCGTTACCAGTTGTCATGAATTATTTAAAACTGGGCTAGAAACTTTGCGATGTCCAATTGTGACGAAAAAATGGCGTGTTTGTAAGTGTTTCCGGACAAACCGTAATTGTGTAAAGCAACGTTGAAAGTCTTCACAGAGTTCATGATTCAAAATTTAACAAGAAATATCTTCAATAGTAATATAATACATCAACGTAATATAAAACACATGCTAAAGAAAGATAATACTTATCACGAAACATGGAGAAAGGCCTATATATAGAAATATTACAAAGCTAGCAAAATTGAAATTTTTCGCAATTCACAGAGAGAACCTAGTCCTTTGCTCCACGAATGCGCGTGCCTCTTTTTGTATGTGTGTGTGTGTGTTTGTTTGCCTTTGTTTGATTAAAAAAAAATCTTATTTGCTTTGGTTCTCCAAAAAACCACCTGCGTATAGAATAGCATCAACCCCCATACTACAATGGTGGTTGTGTAATAAGTAAGCAGCATCTGTTATACCAGAGATTACAGTGGACCAATGATTATTTTCTCCGTAGCACACAATATTTCTTCCCTGTTTTTTCCCTTTTCAATTTCTGTTCATTTATTTATTTACAAATCTATTTGTTTATTTTTTGTAGGGGGAAGGTGGTTGTTTTTCTACCTAAATGATGTTCTAGCTTGTTTTGAAAACGATACGAATCGATCAAGTCGAGAGAGTTAATTTAATTCATTCAAAATGTCGACCTATTTGAGACAAGGGGATTGGACATGAGAAACGCAATCAGTTTGACTGTTTTGTAATCAATGCTTTGAACCCGGGAGTATATATACTGCGCATAGTGTAAATATCAGTCACTAACGACATTTATTTTCAGAACTGCACTAACATGGACTCTCACAGGAGACGAGCTTTAATTATATTGTTTCACAGGATCAGTAATTCCTCGGACTGATAATAACATATCAAATAATAATGAAGCGATTTTCCGTGCACGCCACGCACGAAATTCAAAGTTGGGTAATCGCGCTGCAAAATTCCGAATTTGTTCTCAGTCCTTTATTTCACAGTGGTGTTTATGTACCCAAATAATATTTAATAATAATGTTCCAAATAATAGTTCACCTCCATCATGGTTCTAAGATTTCGAAAGAAGAATATTAAAAAAGATACAGCATCATGGTTTCTCGTCCGGCGCGACGTTCCACGCTACAGCTTACATCAGGGCTAGAATTAAAATAAATGTGACGAGTTTGGCGAATTTGCTTGGACTGATAGTCTTAGATGAAACCCGACCTAATCATTGACCCCAGTACATACTTTGGTGGGCTGGAATACCGCAATATATATATATGGAATAATGGAAGATAAGGAAAAAAATAGTCTTTCGTATGTGGTAACACTCAAATAATTAGAGTTGGTTTGCACCTGCACGATTCGTACCGTA